TTCCCTCGCGCTCGCGATACATACTTCCCCAGACGCGTGTCCGGTCAATTTTTCCTACCCTTTCACCAATTCCGCGAGCCGATTTCTCCGAGCAGAGGTCTATCGCGTGAAATTAACGTGGTCAAGGAGACTGCTCGTTACGTACGCAATTATCGCACCGGGAGAATCGGATGGCACGTGTTTCACTCGGCGAAACGGTGCAACTTCAAAACTAGATAGCTCCGTGTTAATTTAGCACGAAAGTACGTACATCACTTTAAACCCCGTTCCCCGCGAAGCGCGTAAAGCATGTGCGACACTTATAACGCGTTTACCGTAATCGTATCAGCGTCGCGCTCGCATCGAGGATCCTTCGAGATTAATCGAAAGTTATCCCAGAATTCGTCGAAAGTGAAATACGCCAAGTCATTTTCCGAGCACATTTTCTTAGAGATCGAGCGGCCGCGTGCACGAGCTCTTAGGGGGCCGATATCGATAAGAAATACAAGGGAAAGCGTTTTACGGGCAGCACGCTTATAGCTTTCGGATAAGAAGGTTCTTTCAAGGGTCACATTCTCGCGCGGGAACTTTCGTTTCGCGTGAAGGGCGGCCGCGAAAAGACCGACCTTCTGCGCAGAGCTGGAAAGGAATTTTCCTCGCCTCTGTGTCGTCCAGCGACGAAAGTAACGCGTCTCTCCATTAATCTCTACCGGCACCGGTGGAAAACGGGTGCACCGCAGCTTGCGCCCGAAATCAATACGGGCCTGCATCGCTTTCTCGTTATTAAAGATGCTGGCTCCTACGTACGGATGCGATTGCAGCGTCGCGCCCGTCACCCGTCGCGTCGCGTCGCGTCGCCCCCTTGATAAATATTCCGAGGACGCGGAGGAGAACAATCGTCGGGTAACGATGCAGCTCGTGTCACCTCGCGCCGATCAACGCTCCAAGAATACGGTCCTTTTGTTACCACCGGAGCACGTAGACTGCATTAGCGTTACTCGCGACAACGATTATAATAGCTGACGGAGGAAAAGGAAAAAACATCTCTCGTACAACAATGGCCACCGGGGATTTACCGATGGATCTTGCGAATCGATTGCGAATGTTACTGGCACACACTGCCGTGATACAACGAGGGCACGTTTCCAACGGACGTGCGGCTGTTTTCTTTCCACTCGTTTATTGTTTACACGGTATAATTGAAGTAAACGTCGGATAACATTATTCGAGGATGAAGTCGATTTTATAGGTTATAATTGCCGCTTCGAACAGGGGCTGATACGGTTTTCTTTTTTAGGTTAATCTAGAATGGATTTGTTCGCTTCTCGAGTCGGAGAAAGTGTAATTAGTATTAGAGTGCGATTATCGAAGAAAGGTTTCGGTGTCGTCAACACCTTCGAGAGGTTTACGTGTGCTTCTGCGTGCGCATACAAATATTTGATGCACACGTACGTGGCCTCGGATTGTCCGAAAATTCGATGCTGACCGTGTGGTGTACGATGGAGAGAGATTTTTATCGTACGAATATAGCACGTGATTTCGATTCGTCCACGTTAGGGGCGTTTTTGTCTCGACATTTTTCCCGAGCTCGGGGTACGCTAACACGGCCGACGCGTCACGCGTCCGATGAATGAAAACTCACTGGCGTGCTCCATTCTTACGTTACCCTCGTGTCGCTCCGAAATCATAGGCGAGTTCACCGCAACTTTCTCCTTCTTCCGAAACGTTTACCTTTTTCCTCCCGTTTCGGAACTTCGCACCGACGATACACGCGCGTCTCACCTCCGAGGCGAAAATACGCGAAGAAGAGGGATAAAGGGGGAAAAAAGAGAAACGCTTGTTTAACTGTCGGTATCGAAATCGCAGCAAACGTACACTGTGTTCGTTCAGAGAGGGGAATGAACCCCGTTAGTTTGTATCGGCTCGCAGAGAGGAGAAAAGGAGGAAAAAAGGAGAAAGGATGTAGCGAAAGATATATACGGATGAATGTAAAGGTTGATCGTACTCACCGCAATGCAGTGACCTCCACGCTTCTATCATACAGAGCTTCCCTCCTTGCTCGCTGCGAGACTCGTGAAACGGGGGTTGAACAAGGGCTGCTGTTCCTGACAGGAACCACCGCATAACCAACAGTCACGTTTCTATCAAGCACATCGGTTCGTAGAACGGTCACTTTCTACACCGCACCACACGCGTCTCGGTCAAACGAACGCGACGTACCGCCGTTTACTTCTTTAAGCAACATTCAGCAGCCGCAAGAAACACGGAAACGGAAAGTTTTTCGAGCTTACAGGGCCACCGAATCGATGTGTGATGTTACACTTCCCAGCTGTCTTTTTTGATTCTGCGGATGTGCCCGCCAATACCGCCATCTGGCGATGGCTGCCCCAACTGTTCCATTGAGAAAACGCCGCGAATATTCGAATCCGTCTCTCTACCAAGTTCACCGATTTCCTATACCTCGTATCTGCGTTTGCTGAAGCAATTTTGATCGTAATGGGGAGATGTAAGGGATGTATTTTTTTTTTTTTCACGAAATAAATGGAACGTCGTACAATTCTTTTGTATATATAGATTTATTTTTCCACAGTTTCGTATAAGAACATAATTTACTTCGTAATCTTAAGTTTTCATTGATTGTAGTATTAACGCTTAACCGTTACACGACGTGTAAGTTCGTCGTACTTCTTTTTTTCCAGTAATAATGAATAAATCGCAAGGACTTAGTTTACAAACATTTTGTATACGCGTTCTCACCTGTGTCACAAGTACAGTAAAAATGCATGCGTCCTTGTAATCGATATATTACAAGATATATGTTTCTATATTTACATATAAAGTAAATAGAGGTAAATCGGGGTTGAATAAAGTCACGCGGTTCTTATCTTTGCAACATATACATATGCATAAGTTCATAAATCGGCTGTGTGTGTGTGTGTGTGTGTGTGTATATATACGACGTTAAATATCTTCTGAAAAAATTAAGTCGCTTTATTCGTGAACTTACAACAAATTTATCTTGCAGATAGTGTTTCAACGAAAAAGAACAATAAATAAGAAACACGGACATTTCGTTATCCAATAAAATATGGGATTTCTAGAGTAACTAATACAAAGCAAAACAATTAAGTAGATATGTTGAAAGGTGTGGGCAACTAGCAGTCTTCATTTTTCTAACAGACTAAATTTTCGCATAGTAACAGAAAAAAGTACTACTATTTTCAAGTAACGTTGACTTTTCAAATAATACGTCGAACGATGATTGATCGTTTCATTTCGAATATATATATATATATATTTCACCATGAAAAAACATGGAGAGTACACAAAATCCAAAAGTAACCAGAATTTAAGGCCACAAAATTTCTGTCGTAATAATAATATTTATTATCTAATGGGACGTATCTGTTTACAATAAAATAAGCTGTACAAATAGGATGGAATGTTTCGTTAGCTTTAAATGCTAATATTTTTTTGTTCTCTTTTCCTTTTTATGCTTGTTACTTTTTCGAAATAGCTATTATTGTACAAAGTAGGCATTTACAAGTAACTTCAATCGGAGCATCTTTAGTTAATTAACTTCATGCGCTACATATCGTTTTTTTTTCTTTTCTTTTTTTTTCTTTTTTTTCTTTTTTGACAAAAGAATCCGACTATATTCACCTTTTTCGTATAATTGTCAAAATGTACAAATAAATTTCGTTTAAGCAATTTAACATCTATTTTCCTTTATCTTATTTTACTGCTATATACAATGAGCTCCAAGCATATCACGCTTTCTGCTATTAGTTCTTAGAAGAACATACAAGAAGAACGCTGTTGTTATATAAGCAAACCTTTCGATTTATTGTGTAAATAAATCATGTAACAGATACGTCTGTCTCAAAAAATCGTTCATTTTCAATTATGCGTATATTAAATTAAATAATGTCTTTTATTATAATAAACGTACGAATCGATCGAAAATAAAACAAATTACGTACTGAACAAAGTCTGTAATTCTTCTTGCTACATCTTCTAATGGTATCATTGATTCCTCAGAAATGTTTTTTTTTCTTTGTACATTTTTATGATTATAGGTTTTTTTTGCTTTTTAAACACAGCATATTCTATAGTCTTTGTTACTGCAAAAATAAAGGTCGACGAAAGAATCTCTAAACATGCATAATATGTGAGTAGTGAACGTTGCATTGCTTTATATGAAAGAACGAACAGTTTTTTATTTGTAATTTTAAAGAAACGATCGATTGGAAAGGAATCCTGAGCATCGTATTTTAGAAAATTAATAAAAATCATTGCACGCGAGATAATGTTACAAATGTTTAGAATCTTTTATCAACTTGCCAGTATTTTTATGTTATTTGTATAATTACTTGAACGTAGTTGAAATTCAACAGATTTGAAAACCGTAACAAATGCTCTCGTTCTTTATATATTTAAATATAATTTGACCTTCTAAAATCTACGAACCCATTCTTTACTCGTTAATTCCTTCAGTAACAAGGCATTTTATCAACAAATTGGGATAAGTAATTAATAGATAGATTATTATCTTAGTTTCGAGTTATTTACAATTAATATTATATTGATATTCTTTATAGTGGCAAACAAAAATTTCCCAAAGAACCTTTATAAAGTGTAACCATCAAAATATGGAATTACATTTAGAAAGTGAACAAGTTAATACGTTATAATTCATCGATTGCCGAAATGGCAGTCGTGCGATTGCTATGAATTTCTTTATTTCCCTCCTTTTGTTAAATATAGCTTATCGTTTTAAAAGTGCATCATGCGTAAAATTTTTCAGAATTATTTTTAGCAGTTAAGTAATATCTAAACATACTTTTCATTGATTTGTCTCAATGTTGTAACTAACAGTCAAAAGACACCTAAGTCTTCAGAGTGCGGAAAAATGTTTATCCTGTTAAATAGTGAATCATATTAGACAGCATACATGGTTATGTATCTATATGTATGTATATATGTACATTATATTACAGATATCATCATGAAAAGGGGTATTTCGTGCTAATCCACTCCAGCAAAACCTTGGGAACCTTCAATTGCTTTTATCAACTTCTCCCTGAGCTGTTGATAACTTTCGTAAGGAGGGAGGTCAATACGATTAAAACTGGAAAGGGAATATGACACCATCAGATATAATTTTATATCTTGTAGATACTTGTTCCAAATTTTATCAATTTCCGATTTCTACTTGCGCACAAGAAAGGCTTACTACAACTTTTAATCTGGATTATTTCGAAAACTTCGTATAATCGAAAAATTCCGTACTCACCATGTATGAGCTCTTGGATAATTGTCCGGTGTGCCCCACTTCTCGATTGTAAATAACTGTGGTCCGTTGCTACCGTAAAGCTCTTTAAAACCATTCATCGGTACTCGTGATGTACCAGTAACGAACTGTAAAAGCCTAGATCTCATTTCATTGGTAAACGAAAGTACCACTCGCCAAAACCACTGAACAACGATATGATTAGCATGATAGTCTCCTTTGTACAACGTATTCTGCTTCCAGTCTCTTACGTCAATATGTTGAATACCACACATTAATAATTCTAACTCATGTTCGTCAAATATTTTTACTAATGTCGGTGGGATAAGAGCGTTAAATCCTTCTAAAAATGCATTCATTTGCTCTTGAACTCTCGATACAAAGCGCCATTGTATAACTAAAGCTATGTATTCATCTTTGTTTTCGTCTGTTAATGGTACGTTAGCACCATCTGGTTTAAGTTCTCTTTGAGATGTGTGACCAAAACTTTCTTCGTCGACACAGAATGTAAGTTCCAATTCGCTAGGATCGTTTTCTTTAATCCACAACAGCGAATTATAATATTCGGAGTCGACACTTTCCATATCTTTCAAATCGATAGATTTACCCAACATCATTTTATAAAATGGACGAATGAAAAATGCTGTAAAAAGGAACAACAATCCTCTTTATATTTCTACTATTTTCAAAATATTTTACATTATCAGAGTAAATTAAATAATTCTCACCATCTAACAATTTCCCGTGATAAACAGCCATACCTGCTATGCGACCAATAAATTTAAAGTAATTTAAATGTTCTTCGTTACACACTCCCGAAAAGGGATTAATTTGTAGAGTATAATTATCTCTGTAAATATTTCAATTATCGTAATCTTTTACATCTTATAGAATGCAAATAATTTATACACATATACTTACGTAGCAGAATATTCAAACAATCCATAATAAGGATTAAACATTTCTTTAGACAAAAGGAAAAACCATTCTCGGGCAAGACCTCCGTAATCTAATCCAACTTCTCCTTCAAATTCAACCCATAATTTTGTTTTTAATATTTCTACTCTGTTGACAGAACTAATTATACGATACGAATCTTCTAAAATGTTATTCCTACCAACTTTTATTTCAAATTTATTAGGAACATTGTTCTAAAAAAAAGAAAAAAACCATATGATTACAATAAAATCGTATTCACAAACTGTATGGAGATAACTTTTCAACAATTGAATACTCACAGGCTTTCTTAATTGCGACTTAAGATATTCGTATTTACGCTTATAATCTCGCGAATATGGTACAGCCTGTTAAAATATGATAAAATAAACTTACTAAATGAACCGAAATTTATAAACATACTTTATATTCTATAATTTTCTAAATTATCATACCGGTCCAGCTATTTGAGGATTAGACATGCGTGGATCTTCCCATTGAGTTGTTCTTGTATCTAAAGGAGAACAAAAACAAGAGGGGAAAAAAAAGCATAATTCAGTCCAGCTAAAAATTCTTGAATCTCGCGTAATTTTATTAGATATCAATACGTACTGTGATCAATGAAAAATATCCGACCGTCTGTATGAACTCTTTCCTCCCAACCTTCAGGAAGAGGACCAAGTTGGTCCATATCACTCCTTGGTGTAGTAGAAGGAGCGATGTGATTAGGTATCGAACTTGGACGCCCTGTTCGGGGGTCAATCCAAGTCGTTGTCCTTGATGCGTGATCAATAAAAAATACTCTACCATTCGGAGCTACTTGCATACCCCATCCAGGAGGCATGTTTTCATTACTTGATGCGGGAAGAGTAGGTTTCGGACTTTCGATCTAGATATGAAAACAACAATAGGTACTACAGTAAAAAGTTCTGATGTGCCATTAGCATCAACAATAACATGTAATACTAACTTGTTCAGATGATCGTCTCGATCCAGCTGGACTATCTACATTATCATCACTCTGTAAATATAATATCAGTTGTATGTTCATATTAAAATACAAGTTTTATAAGATGCAAACTTACACGATAAATGCGCACTAATGCAATAATAGCAGTGTATTATGCAACAAGGTAATATACGTGGTACGTAAAATTAATCAGAATCATGTGATACGTTAATTCGAAAATTTTGAAAGATAAAATTTTTATCATATATGCATACAAATTCTAATATATAACGCTTATTAGGACGAACAGCTAGTTTATTAAACACAAATGCATGGTGAAGTTTTATAATATCTGTTTAAATTGCATCAAGATAAAAACAAGTGTCACACAGACCAATATGCTATTAAAGTTCATTTTCTTAATAGAAACAGGCACATATAAACAAAAGCATTATAAACAATTTAAAATAATCATGTCTATGAATGAGTACCTGGTCTTCATATTCACTAATGTAGCCACGTTGATCAACAGAACGTCCAGAGTCTGAAGAAGTATCCCCAATACCCCCTCCCCTATGATTCTCAATCTCATAATCTCTCGCTTCCGAATCTTCACCTTCCTCGCGGAGAACTTCACCATCCTTACACACACATGCACAAAATTGCTACATACTGCATGCTAATTATTCCATTTGTTAGAGGGTTAGGCACTCATATTTGTAACCGGGTTTTTTTTTTTTTTTTTTTTTTTTCATGCACATTAAACTGTTAGTTAGTGAATTATAAATTATTACCATACATTTTGTTAGATTAATGTAACATATTAACAAATATGAATTAAAACAAATGTCTATAATTAATCAAAGTACAATGCATCTAGAGATGTTAAGCTAAGCTACAAAGGTGTTTAATTGTAAGTTCCTGTTAATTTGTTGTATTATAAATACGTAGCATAAAAAGCGGAACGAAATATATAGTACTCGATCCTACTCTAATACTAAAATACGAATACATTTTTATTATCCCAAAATATATTAAAATTGAAATTATATAATTATCAATGTAACTGAAATATTAAACAGGTAAATCGTACGTCTTGTGCGTGTGTGTGTGTTTATAATTTTACGCACGTATAGGGTACACAAACTATGAATCTCAAAATTAAGCTTAAAACATGATATTTTTTCATGATACAGATATTTAAAAGCAGAAAATGCCAACTATGTAACACGTATTCCTTTGATTTTGTTTTCATAGTATTTATTGTACATATAATGAAAAGGTCCTCAATATTACCTGAGTAATTGAACTTCTGTGCCTATTTTCGTCATCTGCGCTAATGTGAAAACGTCGTTGAAATTCAGTTGCTGCAATATTCAAATGTCGATCGACTCTCGTAGTTCGACCAGGTATAGTAATACTGCAAACAAATTTTAATATTTTAACATCATTAATACTCAATGAATATATTGAAACAGATATTTAAAATCGGTTACATACGATTCTGTTGGACATTCCCATTGTGTAAATCTTGCTATATGATTAACATAATATGTCCGGCCATTTGCATCTTGTCTTTCTTCCCATCCTGGTGGTAAACTTCTGTTAAGCACAACCTAAAAGAATGTTTAATTGAAACATTATTTTGTACACAAAGAAATAGCATCATCTTTGAATCCTTCAACTCAAAGCACAGTATAAACATAATTGTGCATACATCTGCAGGCTGTTCCACTGGACTATTTGCTGGTTGCACCATTTCCCATCCTCCCGAGTCAGATGCAGCATCTTCATTGTCATTGTCTACAGTTGGTGAGTCCGAAATATATGCATGGTATAGGTCCAAAGTACCCTTTACCCTCGAACGCTGACTGGAATGATTACTAGCCATATCCCCGTAAGTTATTCATTTTGCATTTGCAAATGAAAGATACAAAAAAAATATTTTAATGAACTAAATGTAAAATTTGGTGATATGCAGCCAATAAACATGACCATGTGAAAAACTACTTGAAAACATTGTAGAATAGTGCATACAATAGTGCATATAAAAATGAAAGAAATGAAAACTAATGAATAAAGATGACATATAATATCAATTATTCTTATTACACACATAATACACAGTAAAATATACAGGTATTACATTATATCTGTAGTTCAAGAGCAAACAATTTTAAAAAGAAAGCTAAACAGATAAAACTTTTAAAATATATAAAAATACACAGCTTTAAGCATATATTATATGTACTTACCTACGTGGTCGAAGTAAGTAACGCCTGAAAGCATTATGACGACGTTCCTGCTCATTAGGTAAATGATCTAATGTTAATTCTACCTTCCCAAGAAAATCATCCCTTGTCAATCTATTCTCATCAAAAACTTGTAGCACCAATTTATGATCCTCAGGTTTAACCTAAAGATGACAAATTTTTTGTTTATTATATTTCACCTGCATTGAATCTACACTAATATAAAATTATAATGTATCAAATTTACCCTAAATATAAATTCTTCTTCCCAGACAGGATTCAAAGTCTTTTTTTTAGTTTTTGTAAGTGCAAAATCTATTGTCTGGTCACCATTTATAGTATTTAAGTCAACACGCACATAAGGATCGCTTGCACCAAAGATGTCTTTCTTTGCTAACTGGTGCCCAGCGATCACTTTTATTCTCAGCTTGCTGGTAGCCTCATCTCTCTGTATAAATTATCAGAAAAACCAAAAAATTGAATTGTGACAAATTCTTATTGAGAAATAAACATGGTAGTTATTGTTTAAAGATAGATATTTATTGTCACTGTCATCTAAATTAACTTATTTACATTATCAAAGTATCTCTTAGGAAAAAAAGATATATATATAAGGCAAACATATTTAAGAAAACTGAAACCTTGTTGTACAAATTATTAATTCAGCACTTTAATTGTTTTATTTGTTTGCATTAATAAATAAGGTATAAAAATTTGTTAGCTCATTTTTACATATTTTATACAATAAACTCATTCTTAATTATTTTATTGTAATATATTTTCCTTAATACTAGATATAAATACATACAAAATTTTCGGTACAAAGGAAACACGTAAGAATATGCATAAAATACTAAAAAGAAATATTCTCTCACAAGTTGCATGTATATGTGTAACATAAAAAGATTCGTATTGATAAGTTTCATTAATGCTTCCCGATAAAAAAGTATTACAAGGGCAGCTCGTGTTGTGATTATCAATTACATGAAAATTTCATCGATGGTGCAACACTATTACTAATTGTAAAATCAACAACTTTCTGGAAGCAACACCCTTCCTGAAGTCTATCAATCAAAAATCCAACCTGTACTTGTCAAAATGTCAAAATAGTTACGTACGGATTCTCCGTTAACTCCAGGCGCCGGATTATATCCGTAAACATGTTCCTCTGCCATTAACGTTATATATAATCGATTTGTTTCTAATCGTCGATTGGTATTTGTTACAATTTAACGAGGTTCACAGTTTCTTATGTGCCATCAAGAAACCTATTTTGTCTTAACCCCTCTCCCTCGCTATTGCATGAACGAAACGGATATGACATACTCGCGCTTAAAGATGGCTAACTTCCTTTTAAATATTTAAACGTAACTAAAATTTAACATTTTCGTTATAAATTGAAACATTTATGTTTATACACGGGAAAATATTATACGTTGTGTAGGATATATTTTCCCCGATGTTTGTAATTCTATTAACGTTGAAAAGGGAAATATTTCCCAAACGAAATACTTATAAAACGATTCTAACAAATGCCGCTGAAATGAACAACTTCTAATGCGCCTGCGAGCATCTCTAAATTTTCCCAAATCTTTCGTCATTTTACGTAGCACGTTATCCTAATTATGAGAATTCAATTTTTGGCTTAAATACAATTATCTTTCCATGCTGCCATTATACTTTAACAACTGATGCGCGTAAAAAGTGACTCGCGTGTTTCGGAGTGCATTTTTCTTAACGATTTCTTAATTACCAATGTATTGTCTTAATATCAGAAGGGCTTTATGTTAATAGCGATAAGGGGATTAAAACGAAATGTATGATAATGAGTTATTTTTTCCTTTGACTTTTCAATCTGATATCATCAGATAATGATAAGAATGAATAATTTCTAAATTAGTATTTTAAGATAATAAATATAACTTTAATATACCCAAAGAAATAAGATTATAGTTACATACTGCAGGCTCTGTCAATGAAAGCCGTCCAAGTCTTGTGTTAGTTTGTAATATGTCGGATGTAGCACGATCCTGATTATTCCAAGTATAAGCACGATTCCTGTGAGGTGGTGGTTCAACACCAGCAACACCATATATTGGATAATTCACAGTACCTGGCATCTTGTGTTCTTAATCTCTCAATATTTGGCACATTGGCACAAAAATTATTCACTATAATTGTGATACGTGTTTTACTTGTCATATGTAATTCT